TCTAGTGCCTAACTGGAGGCCAGGGACATGGCTCCTTCCAGAAATGTTATCCTCCACCCACACCTTGGGCCCTGACAGCAGGGGGAGACCACGGGGTGGGGGGGAGAGGGGGGCAGGGTGAGGGCTGCTGAAGGTCATGGCCACCCAATGCAGTCAGGCCACATGGGTCCTGCTCTTGGTCTGTCCCAAACTTGCTATGGGGTCTAAAGCAACTCGCTTCCTCTCTCCCGGCCTGTTTTCCTCAGTAAAATGAAAAGGTCACTCTAGAGGTGCCTTTAAGGACCCTTCTAATTCTCAGTCTATGGATCTTGAGTTCCTAGAAAAATAGAGACGGGGGTAGGAAAAGATTGGCTAATCCTTAAGTAGTTGCTATAGTGTTTATGCTAATGTGCCAGGCATTGCTGTAAACTCTTCCTGTATATTCATCCCTTTCAGGGTCTCGGCAACTCTCCAGTATCACCCACTTTACAGATAAGGCAATGGAGGCCGCATGGAAGTTAGTGCTTAAGTCACTCAATTTATAAATACCAGAGTTGGGATTTGAACCCACGCAGCCTGGTACACGGTCCACACTCTTAAACCTAAACTATAGGAAAATATAAAGAATCACAGGCCAAGCTATGATAATGGGGTCCATCCTTGGAGAAGGCAAGGACTTCCCACTCACCTCCCCCACCCCAAGTCCTTTCCTTCCTGATTAGTCAACATCCCCCAGCCCTGACACTCTTTTGTACCCAACTGGAAATCCTTACCCCATTGTCAAGGCAACAGGCTGATGCTTTCCAGAGGGTCAGTGCCTCCGTGATCATCCCAGGCCCCTCTGCAAATCCAAGGCCTCAGCAAATCTGACCACTGCTGGCTACACACCCAATTCATGCCCTGATCCAGGGGCCCCCACCTCAGATCCTGGCTCACAAGACACAGCTTTCCCTGAGCACTCACTCTGTGCCCAGGCCCAAGACCAGCACTTGGAAGAGGATATGAACAAGCCACGCCCCTGACCTCCAGGAGCCCACAGTCCAGCAAGGAAAAACAGTGGTGTAAACGGATCTCTAGGATACTCTGTGGTCAGTGCTAAAATTAGAGGTGTGTCCCCAGTGGGCTGAGGGCACATGTGTCAGAGTGATTCACGCTGCATGGTAGGAAGAGGAGGCCCCAATGCCCCTGGGTGAGACCTACCGGAAGGAGCCCTGAACTGGGGCCGAGGAGGCACCCTGAAACATGCCCTGAGCCCCACAGTCCCCCTCTGAAAACGAGATGGCCCCCAAGTGTGGGACAGGAGGTCATGTGAGGAGTTCAAGGTCACATTTATACTGACTCATAGACTGAGAAACAATTTTCATTGCTCACTCTCCTTCCCATCCTTCCCATTGCATCTGGGCGCAAATCTGTCTGGTGCCAGTTTGTCTTTCAGCCTCTCAAACACTTGCCAGCCTGCCTTTCGAACACAGAACTCAGGTCCACAGCCTACATCACCCATCCAGCCAGGATTTAATCACGTTTTGTTTTCCTTGCACTATTTAGTGTTACAGTTGCATGCTCTCGTCCATGCTCAGTATCGGTTTCCCATTGGCAGTGGCGATAATAAAGCCGCCTTTTAAAAAATAATTTAAGATTAAAAAGTGAGTCAGTTGAAAGTAATAGAGTAAATAATACTATAATTGATATAAACTCTACGAAGGGCAGTTTAACAAACACCAAAATTCTAAACGCACATACAAAACCAGGCAAAGTGGTTCTATGCGATTAGACATTCCGACTGATTACCGCTGGAGGGAGGGGGTGGTGACCGGAAGCGGGTGCAAGGGGGGGCTTCTGGCCTCTGCTCTCCATTCTAGTGGTTGACCTGGGGGCTGATTATATATGTGTGTTCACTTTGTAAAAATCCATCAGGCTGCATCCGCTTATGATCAGTGCATGTCTGTATGTATATTATACATTCTCGTATCCTTTTAACCCACTGGTTCTCCTTCTAGAAATTACCCTGCAGATATACACACACATGTGCAAAATGACATGTTCAAAGCTCCTTGCTGCACTGCTGTTTGCAGTCACCAAAGATCAGAAACAACCCGAGTTCCCCAGCTGGAGACTGATTGAATGACTTTGGGCATAGCCTACAGTGAACTCTATGTAGCCATCAGACAGAATGAGGTGGCCACTACCAGAGCTCCAAAATTCACATGGACTTAAATGTAAGTGAAAAGGTAAGGGCAGAACTGTGTATCCTGTGCTCCCTTATATGAAAAAAAAAAAAAGAATATGTAATGCATGCACATGTCCGCACCTAGGGCATCCTATGGCTAGGATGCTATCTTTGAAGTGAATGATAAGAAACTGATCATAGATGTCCCCTCCCCTCTGGACAGGGTGGGCGAGGGGAGGGGGGGAAGCTGGAGGCTTGTCACTGATGACTACTCTTTGGTACTTGAAAATTGTGTACAGTGTCCTTGCATTTCATATTTGATAATAAGACTGAAAGCAGAAAGTCCCTTACAGAAGGAGCATGACTATGGTAAAACTTATGGCCCCTTCCAGACCTAAGTCTGAGATGAAGGTCTTAGTACTTTGGGCTTATAAAGCACGTAACCCTTGGCCCCACTCCTCACTCCAAGGGATGGTACCAGAGATAATGGGCCCTCCTGTAAGGGGTTTCCAATTAGCAGCAAAGCCTGTCTAGGACACATTATTTCCTCCCGCTGGCCTTCACCCTGCAGTGAAAATCTGGCACCTAGAGCTGCCCTGGCAGAGCTGTCAGGTGGCTGAGTTCTTGGCATGGGTGGGGAGGTTTTTAAGCAGAAATACTTCCAGGGATGGGAAGTCAAGGATTTGGTAAGGCAAGCTCAGTTGGCTAGAAAGGAAAGATTCCAAGTTCTGAGTCCCACCCGGCCCCAAGAGAAGCAAAGCAAGGGCCATTGAGTGGTCTCCCTGCAGGCCACAGGGGACAGCGACAGAACAAGGCCTTGACAATCGAGGTCAACTGTAACTGTATAACTCTCTTTTATACAGCACTGGTCTCACCCACATGTCACTATCTTCCCATATCACTAATCCTAAAAACAATCCAGTGAGGTGTGGGGCAGGGTATCAGTTACCCATTTTACAGATGGGAAAATGGAGGTGCAAGGGGGTTAAGAGACTGGTCAGGGATTACACATGGAGAGAAGGGTGAAGCCAGAAACATAGCCCCCACCTTCTGACTCCTGGTCTTCCCTTATCTTCTTACCTACCCTCCACCCCCAACAACCTTAGCCTTCCCTCTTTCAACTGTGACCTCCAGAGCGAAGAGCTCCTGTGGCCAGACAAGCAAGGGGCAGGCAAAGAATCCCAGAACCAAGGGGCCTGTGAGACCATCAGGCCCAGCAGTTTACAACCCTGAATACAAACTAGAATCACCTAGGGAGCTTAAATAAGTTTAAACAAATATCTATGCCAGGGCCCAGGGATCTGTAGTGTTTTTTAAAGTCTCTGGTTGATGCTGATGCAACTTTGGGAGAGAATCACCCCCACCCCAATCCCATATACAACCTTCTGCCTCCCTGAGGCCTCCACCATCCTCTGCTCCATCCTCTGACCCCCAAATGTACTGCTCATCTCTCTTCCACATTACCTAAAATCAGAGAACTGGACTGGGAATTGGGCTTAGCCTAGTTCTCTAGATAGGCAAGTCACTTAACAGCTCTGAGGTCCCAAACAAGGAAGTGACTTGCCTAAGATCTCCCAGTGAGTCAAAAACAGAACAAGACTAGAATCTGGATCTCTTGCCTACCAGGCAAGGTCATATCCATAGAGGGGCCAAATGGACAGTCAGACCTGTTATCAGGCAGATCTAGCTATTCCTGCTAACAGAATAGATCCAGCGAGGGTCTGAAGAGGAGAATACAGTGTGCAAATGTTTCAAGAGGATTGGGAGCCAGGGATCTCCCCTCCAGTCCCTGGGCAAGTCTGCCCTGTGGCTACTGGGAGCAGGAGACTATTCTAGAATGGCAAGGCTGGAGCTGGCTTATAGAAAGATGTCCTCATTTTTAGGTGGGGGTCCAGCCTAGTCTGAAACCTTCATAAAGAAATCAGTCTCTTGTGACAGCTAACCAGGACGGCCCAGCTTCCCAGTCTATAATAATAATAATAATAATAATAATGGCTCACACTTCTTAAGCTCTTCACTGGTCCCGGTGCTGAGCACTGTGCTTGGACTACTTCATTCAATCTCCACACCCATCCTTAAAGTTGAATATAATTACTGTTTCTATTTGCAAATGAAGAAACTATGGCCTAGAGAATTTAAGTAACTTCCTCAAGATCAGTCAGCTAGAAAGCGGTAGCGGCAGGATTCGAAGCCTAGTTCATGTCCAACCACTAACACACTGCCGCACAGCAATACACAAGAAGAGGTAAAGCTCAGTGGCTGCGGAAGTTACCCGACAGCCAGGAGCTCCGGGAGACCTCCCCAGACGTGATCTGGTGAAAGCCTCCCAACTACTCCGCTGACAAGGCACGCCCATCCTCCTTCCACGGAAGAGGAAACCGAGGCACGGTAGGGAAGCATCTCGCTCTGGGACATCCGCAAGTAGCTAGTGGGAGTCCAGGTTTCCCCGCCCAATCCAGACCACAAAGCCCGACCACTTCTTCCGCACAAGCTGATGGGGAGGCAGACTCTGTAACACCCGGTACACCGTGGTAACCACCGCCTAGCGCACCAGCCGATGCGCAGCAGACGCGGAAAACCAACGCTCTGGGCAGGTGCACACAGGTGAGCCACGGAGCGCTCCTTCGTCGTAGTCAACGGGCTCTAACGCTCCGGGCCCATCCGCTGCTGACATTCAGGCTGAGCCGGGCGCCACAGTTTCCTGTTTCCCAGGGAGAGTGGGACGAGGAACCAGGCGTGCACTCCCCGTGCCCTCCCTGGAGCAGCCAAGTCTAGACCCTACCCCGGTACGGCGTCCAGGGAGTGTCGGGCTCCACACACGCCCCCATCTCAGGGTCCCCCTGGGGTCACTCACCCAGAACACCGTGGAGTAGATGACCAGCGAGAACTTGAGCCAGAGGTAAGAGAGGCGCGCGCAGTAGCGCACCTGCTCGGAGTCCCCGCGGGGCATCCTGGGCACTCTCCGCGGGGCTCCGGGGCTCCGGGGCTCCGGGGCTCCCGGGCTAGGTCCGTCGCCGTGAGCAGCCCCACCTGCGGCTGCCAGCCCGGCCGCGCGCCCCTCCACTCGCGCCGGCTCCGGGACTGACATGGGCTGGCCGCAATCACAGCCGCGGCCTGAACCAGTCCGCCCAGCGGCCAATGGGCGCGAGGCCGCGGCCCAGCCTCTGGAAGGGGGCGGGCAGGGGGGCGGGGCCGCGGCCCGGGACCCGCTGGAGGCGCAGGGAGGGGAGGGGGCGAGGGTTATGCAAACGAGGTCTGGGGCCGCGCTGCAGACGCCCGCGCGAAGGGCGCCGAGGGGGGCGTGGGAGAGTGCACACAAAGGTGCGCCGGGGAGAAAGCCCGCGTACCGAATCGGGGGGACGTAGAGAGGCGCGCTTTCCACTGTTGGCAAGAGGGAAGACTGTAGGAAGAGGGCAGGAATTAACCGCTAAGGTGTTAAAAGTGTGCAAATGAATGTGCAAGCCGTGAATGGAATAAGGAGGTGGAGCTGCTCAGCCTGAGGGGGGTGGAGGACCGACTTCAGTTAAGAAGGTGGGGCAGACCAGGGTGGGGCTAAGGGGTCCCCTTGGAGTTGGGGCCGCGAGTTTACTTTTGTCACAGATCCCCAACTAGCCTTTTTCCATCAAGTCTCCGGGAATCCCCTTCTCTGAGGCCGGTGGAGATCCCAACACTGCCCCCCAGGGCCTCCTCTTCCGGGAAGCCCTCCCACCACCCATCCACAGGCCAGGTCAGTGGCCCTGGCCCTTGCTGCACACAGTCCTGGTCTGACCCAGCCTCTCCTCTCCCAGCGTTTCCTCGTTCTGAGGTCAGAGTCTGTGTCCCATGGCACCCCTGCACACACCCAGCCCAGGTCTGACCCAGCCTCTCCCCTCCCGGCGTCTCCTCTGCCTGGGGTCAGAGTCTGTCTCCCAGTGCCCCGTCTTGACTCCTCCGCTGTTTCCCGCGGAGCTCAGCCTGGGGTTTGGGAGTCAGGCAATTGTTTGGGGCATTCAGTAATTAAATGTGTGGCCCAGAGGTCGAGCTCAAGGCAGTGCTAGACGGGGTCCCTGGTGGTGACTGCAGGAATGGCACCCTAGTCCAAGTCCGTGGCCCTGGACTCCCAAGCCTCACATATAATACACACTCCCAGAGAGAGACAGACGCCAAGACAGACCAGGCCTGCCCCAGCCCCCAGGCCCCTGCCCTAGAAGGAAGAAAGTAAGGTTGGGATAGCATGTCCTGTCCTCTTCAAGGTTCTTCTAGCCAGACTAAGAATCAAATTGACATGAGACAGATTAACAGGAGAAAATCAAATTTAACAGAATACATATGAGGAATCCACATAGATGTGAAAATTCCAGACAGGCAAAATGAGGGATATGTGTCATTCTGAACTAAGGAGAAAGGGGTAGGCGTCTGAGAATTCAAGGAAGAAATACAATTCACAGGAAGATGAAAAAGCGTAAATGTTTGATAAACAAATGTTTGTTGGGTGCCCCCCCGCCGGAACAATGGGACACAGAGGACTTGGCTCAAACAGGCCTTGCTAGCTTCCTCCCTTTCTACCAGACCTACTTTATTATTTTTTTAGAGAGGGGGGGAGGGGCAGAGGGAGAAGAAGAGAGAATCTTAGGCAGGCTCCACGCTCAGCGTGGAGCCTGACGTGGGGCTCGATTTCACGACCCTGAGATCCTGACCTGAGCTGAAATCAAGAGTCGGAGGCTCAACCGACTGAGCCACCCAGGCGCCCCTACCATACCTACTTTATATCATAATGTAGTTATCTGTGTCTTCCTGGAGCAGATGCTCCATCTAAATTCTTTTTAGACAGTTGAGGGGGAAGTAAAGAGCTTTTCCTGAATCTGCTGGGCTTTGGTGCTTTTTAATTCAAAATAAACTTCATGCCAATGTGGCCCATCTGGGGGCAGCCAGCCCTTGGCCCCTGCAGTTGGAAGGCAATGCCTTGCCCAGAGAAGTCAAGGGAATTCAGTTTCCTGGTACTAAAGGAGCCAGTCCTGCATGGGTGTTTATGTCGCGTAGGGACGCAGAACCAGGGACTGCTGCACGTGACCTGAGAAGAGTAGCCAAGGGCTACAAAGACATCTTACCACAGTGTTAAAAGTTGTCCTTTGAGGAGGAGGACACTAACTCTTTACCCTTCTTTGGGGGACTAGCTTCCCTCCCCCAGCCCTGCAGAGCTCGCCTTACACCCTCTCTTTGAGGTACTGGTCTCATCCCCTAGTCACCCCCCCTCCCAGGGGCTGTCTGTCTCCCTCTCCCTGGGGGTGAGCCTCCCCACTGGGGTTTTCTTTCCAGTTGCGCTTGGCCTTTGTTCTGGCCTCTAGCTAGCTGTACTTTCTCTTCTATTTCAAGTCTTCCCTGGTGACATCCCCATCCAGCAACCCCTGTGGGCTCTTCCTGAGCCCCTATAAGTAGTGCCCCGAGGGAGGGGGCTGTGACAGCCATGCATGGGGAGCCTGGAGCTCGTTGGGACTAGCACACCCTTCCCCGGGCTCCTGAGCATCTTTGTTGCCCTTCCCCACCCCTAACCTGACCCCAAGTACTGTGAGCTGCCCCCAGCCACATTTGCAAACACTGAGATCTCAGAAGAAGTGACACCTTATTTTTAACTTCTCCCTCTTTTTGCCAGGAGCTCTGGGCTGGGGGTCAGCAGCCTAGGGCCAATCCCGGTTTTGCTGTGAACGTTTTGAGAAGCCATTAGAATGTGTGGCACAGATAGTGTGACATACAGGGGTGAGCGTGGCCCTGGCTGCAGTTTACAACCACCTAGTGAGTTTTAAAGCTATGCTGAGGGGCGCCTGGGTGGCTCAGTCGGCTGAGCATTGCCTCTTGGTTTCCGCTCAGGTTGTGATCTCAGGGTCATGGGATCGAGCCCCTCATCAGGCTCTGCATTCAGTGCAGAGTCTGCTTGTCTCTCTCCCTCCCCTGGTTTGCTTATGCTTTCTCTCTCTCTCTCTCTCTCAAATACATAAATAAGTAAAATTTTAAAAAATAAAAAATAAATGGATGCTGATATCCAGGCCCTGCCCTAGTTCAGCAAAGTCAGAATCACCACCAACGGGGACCTAGGAATCGGTATTATCTTCAAGGTCCCAGGTAATTTCTAAAGTGCAGCCAGGATGGCGTCTCACCAGTCCAGAGGTAATCATGCGGGGAGGTGGTCATTTCACAGCTAGACCACATTCCAGAGGTCACCCAGCTAGCCAGTGGTGTGCTGTTGAAGGTTTAATATCTGCCTCTCTGTTGGTGGGGGGTGGATGGGAGGGCTCCTGTTGCTGGTTTTCAGAGTGGGAATTCTTCCACCTGTGGCCCCTGGGCGTTAAGAGACAAAATCACACAAACAGCTCTCCACACCTCTGCAGCTCTCCCTCTTTCAGTCCACCCGTGCAGCTTTACCGATTAGCCCAGAGAAGCCCACCCATAATGACAGAATGCATCCATGAAATTCATGGCTCATCAATAAGCATAACAGGTATTTTTTTTTTAAGATTTTATTTATTTATTTAACAGAGAGAGAGAGAGCACACAAGCAGGGGGAGCCGCAGAGGGAGAGCGAGAAGCAGGCTCCCCACAGAGCAGGGAGCCCAATGTGGGACTCGATCCCAGGACTCTGGGATCATGACCTGAGCTGAAGGCAGACGCTTAACTGACTGAGCCACCCATGCGTCCCAGCATAACAGGTATTAGAAATGAGCTCCCCGGGGCACCTGGGTGGCTCAGTTGGTTAAGCGACTGCCTTCGGCTCAGGTCATGATCCTGGAGTCCCGGGATCGAGTCCCACATCGGGCTCCCTGCTCAGCGGGGGGTCTGCTTCTCCCTCTGACCCTCCCCCCTCTCATGTGCTCTCTCTCTCTCTCTCTCAAATAAAATCTAAAAAAAAAAAAAAAAGAAATAAGCTCCCCTTTGCTGAAATCAGTAGTATTCAAGATATGTAGATTGTCTAAAATGAGACACCACCCCTTTCTTGTTCAGAGTAAAAGAATTTCACTTAGAGATGAAGTGTGGGGCTAAATCTTTGAGGATCCCATGTTCTAAGGCATCTGGCTGCCTGACGTGACCAGCAGTCTCAGGAATGTTGCGTCTTCCTTGAGTGGACCCTTCATGCAAGGTGGTAGAGCGCCTAAAAGCACAGAGAGCTAGGCCTTCGCTGACTTTACAGAACAGATTGTAGGAACCCGTTTTGTGGCTACTGGCCAATAAATGTTTGTTTTATAGATATTTTTATGGATGTCACAATTTGTTCTGAGATCTGTTTTCATGATAACCTGGCAAGCAGATTGTAGGAGGAAATACCTAACCAACACTGTCAGCGGCTACTGCTTATGAGAAAAGAACCTAAGGACGTGCAGCACTGACTTGGCTTGCATAATAAGTTCGCCTTCACGTCCCTGGGTAATTGACTGTGCCTCTGGTTCCCCATCTGGGAAACCAGGAGGTTGGACCCTTTCTCTTGTAGCTCCTCGTGGTCCTCGTGGTCAACTCGGTGAGCAAATGTATACCGAGCTTCTCCTGTGAATCAGGCCCTGCCCCAGGCTCTGGGATACATCCATAAGCAAGATAGCCAAGTCTCCGTTGTCTTCTACTGGGGAGGGAGTTGTGGGGACATATAACGTATATGAAAACAAACACACGAAAGGGAGATGTCAGGCAGTGATATGTATTAAAGATCTGGAAGAAGAGCTTCCTAATGGAAAAGACCGCAAGTGCAAAGACTATGAGAGAGGGACAGCCTTGTCCTGAGTCCCAGGGGGGCTCAAGCAAGGGACTTCGGGAGGGTAGAGGGGGTGACATTGGACCTAGGAAGGAGCCTCGCAGCTTTGGCAAGTGGTTTAGACTTATTTCCAGTTTCAGTGAGGGCCACAGGGAGGTTTTCAGCTGGGACGTGATACAAAATGAGATTGATGCTTCAGAAGGCCGCAGCACAGAGCAAGGACAGGGGGGTGCTGGCTGGGAGGGAGGCTGGTGAGAAAGTCAATCTCAGAGCAAGAAGGCTGGGGCTGGGCTGGGGCACAGCATCAGACATGCATCTTGGACACAGAGCCAACAAGACTTACTGGCAGATTGGATATGGAATGTGGAG